ATAAAAATGTCGGATACGGCTCTCCAATCCCCTTGATACCGCCCTCCCCCATATCCAACTCTCGTCCCGAAAAGATGCATTTTGAGCAGCCTATTGTACAGCTTGCAAGAATGCGACAGTTTCTTTATGAGTTCTGGGATTGGGGCTATATCGGGGGTTGCTGTATCTGCCTACCGAGGAAGAGTGGATACAGCTCCCCGATCCTCCCGGTACAGCCCTCCCCCTATACAGATCTCTTCGCGAAAAGAGACTAGGGCGCAAGTATAAACAAACGCTGGCAGCTAGAAAATCTCCACAGTAGGATAATTTGGGTAATAGTATAATGCCTCTTGGGTAGTTTTACTTACCTGCAAGCGAAACGCACTAAAATGATATGGACATGTGGTTCCGGGGTCCCCAACAGGCTTGCATGGGAGAGTAATAACCTGTCTTCAACTGGTAAATCAGTTAAACTTAGAAATGACATACGTGATCAGGAGGGGATGATTCACATCACCTGCTCTGCAAACTCTGTTGCAACTAATAATGGACATTTGAGTCCTAAAAATTAGTCTATATTTTGTTTAATAAAGCTTTACAATGGTTCTAAAATGAGTGTCAAAGAGAGTCTCAAAATTCCAAAGCAATAGTTTATTGGCAATATTATTACATGAACATCAAGATAATAATTTATACATTGTCAAAATTGTTACTAGGTTTTCATATTTTGGAGTTTATATTGGATCATATTTCAATATACTGAATTTTGATTATTCATTGTTAGCAACAGGCTAATCAGTACTTCTCGCCTCGCCTCATCTGTCCCTCGACCTCGTTAAGGGTCGTTATTGCACCAATCAGTACAGAAAGTACTAAGCAATCCTAAAAAAAACTTATTTAAGAAAGGTATTCAATCACTGCCCAAAATCGCTAGAAAGATAATATATTTTCAATATTATGCCACCAATGTTGTAATAGCTTGCACCCATGCTGATGAATATAATCCTTCACTGTAAATACATCTTGAACATTATGTGCATGGGAACAATACTTAATAATGTAATAACTTGGAGTGAGACTGTTTAAAGTATGTTTAGCTCATTTAGCTCAGGATCGCATGCTCCTGATGGAAGAGTTGCGCCTCCGCTTATGAACCTCCATGTCTGTCTGTCTCTGGTTGCCACCAGGCGGTCGTTGCAAATCTAAAAAGTCATCTAGGGACATGTTTCATGCTATTTTACCAGATGTAAATGCACCCTTTCATATGTAGTCTGAGTAAAGAGCAACATAATATCACAATTCTAACTTGGTATGCTTAAAAAATCACTAAAAGAGAAACTTAATTTTAATGACATGACATGACATTGTAAAGTTTTTACAAAATACTAGATAAAATGTTACCAGTAACCATTAGAGTCCATTCCATGTCACCGAGAGGATTTTAAATAAATTATTCTAAATTGTAATGATTTTTAGTGATATTTGATTTTGTTTATATTTGATTTTTAGGTATTTCTAGAACATTTTAAAACTTAATGTACAAGGAATTCTTTCTTCAAAATGGATTCTAAATAGAATTACTAGAATGTCATTCTTCAATTTTTCTAAATATTTACAACTATTTGTTACAGTTTTCAAATGATAGATTTGGGTTACTTAGCATTGCCGCTAATGCAGCCATACTGCTTGCTTTTGTATATTTTAGATGTCACTGTTGGACACTGAGGCATCTTTTGTGCATGGTGCCCTGACATACTCGCCTGCACTTCACAAGGATGTGTGAAATACCTTTTTCCCACCCCACTGACCCATTTACGATGTTACGAATAGTAATACGGGTAGACTGCTGACACAATTAGTACAAAATTCCAAACTATTTCCATCACGAACATTTTCAAAACTTTGAAAATATTTAAAACATTCTAAACGTTACTTACAATGTGTTCCAAATACTTCCAAACAATAACAGTTCTTAGACAATAACAAAGAGTTAAAGGCGTTAATGAACATTGACAGAAACAACGCTCTTGGATTAGACTATATAGAAATCTCCCCTTTTTAAAACAATAAGGCACCTCAGCAATCTAAATGCCTGTGTCTCCTGATAGATTCGTGCTGTCTCATAAAATGTCTTACAGATCTTACAGTTATACATCAAAATAATGATAATATCAGGTTATAATCTTCATCTAAGAATAAGTAGTCTGTGAGGTTTATTAGTACTTATTGTGTTTGCTGTTGTCAAAGCATTGGAACCTATAATAATAATTTTAGTTGTGAAATAAGAATATTACATTTCAATTCTAGTTTAAATAAATAAATCCTCTTTTAGGGCTAAACCCTGAACATTAACATACGTATTCAGTTGCTTTTTGTCTCCTGTGAGATTATCGATAATTGTCTTGTAGAACAAAAAGTGATTTACATTCTTGGTTTACCGTTTATCCATCATGATATTTAAAGAACAGTATTTGCATGTTAACAATGATAAGCAAAGAACATGTTAAGTACTTCCTAGAATTATTGTTCACTCTATAAAAGTGTGCTCCAAGTATACTATAGGAATAGAAAGTTGTGTGGGGTGAAAGACACACAAAAACATTGTTTAGCTCTTCATCATAGTAAATTAGCTTTTTGACCACAAACTACATTTATACAACGTTATGTATTAATCTTTAAAAGTGGTCAAAAACTTTTGGGTGGCTACTTAATATTTTTTTAGGATTTCTGCTTAATCTTCAAAGACGAGTGACCCCTACTATTCGAACGTCTATTACGGTGAGCCAAAGGCTAATCTTAAAAGAGATAATTGTTGATAAACTGCATCTGCTAATCTGTCCCTATAAGGATGCACATAAAAGGAGGCATCATTAGGTGCTTTATTCGATTATTTCGATTGCTTCAAGGTCAACCTATACCAAGTGCCGGTGTTTTGTTGTGTCCTTTTGAAAGGAACTTTGCACCTGTCACTTGACACTTGGATGGGACGTGGAATTGGAGCGCCCTTGTTTAAGCAGAGCCACTCCTCAAGCATGTCAATGATCCTACTGCACTTATCAAAAAAGAGTAGGGGTGTACCCCGATGAGTTGGTCAAACCTTACATTCCAGTATTTTTCACACAGCTTGTACCTACTTTTTCTTTATTTCAGGTAAAAAGAGTACCCATAAAAACATGTCACATAATATTATTCTACAGGACTGAAGTGTTATGCCTAAAAAGTTACCAGTTAATATGCAAAACCCAAAAATCGTTAATATGCCTGTTTTTAAGACTGGTTGTCTTTAAGACCTACAGCTGGATAGATTTCACTATACGTCGATGAAGGTTAGACATCCAGGTAATACGATATGCCAAAAAACAGTTACTCAAGCAACTGGATATGATTTTCTAAAATACATATCCAGTTGCTTGAGTAACTGTTTTTTGGCAGATTTCACTATAGTCTATACGCTCTTGGTGATGTATCTTTGTACAGATAATCACACTGATTGGAGACAGCAGTTCCAGAGCCATAGTGTTGGTTCGAGGATTTACGGATAGTCTCAGTCTGATAACAATCTGATGCCGTCTCATCTTGGCTGGCTGCAACATTAACTTGCTGGTTTGTAGTTTTCATATCACAAGAGTCTGAAACTGTGGGGCTTGTTGGTAAAATATCCTCATTGTCATATATTTGCTCTGAGACAGTCGGCTCCAAGTCATCTTGTGGGTTCATGGGAGATTTTGTGGTAATCTCGCCCAGCACTGTCTGATCTTGACTACCTGTCACATTAGCTGTGTTGTTTATGGCTGTGCAGCCATTAGAGTTTGGGTCTGTGGGGCCTTTTGGGGACAAATTATCCACATCTTCATATGTATGCTGTGAGAATGCTGTCACTGTGTTGTACTGTGGGTTTATCATGCATTTCATGACAACCTGAGACTCACTCAGTGCTGTCTGATCTGTTACATTAGCTGCTTTGGGTTCTTTAAGGCCTGTTGATGACAAAATATCCACATCTTCATGTGTATGCTCCGAAACAGTAGACTCCGAAACAGTAACCTCACTCATTGCTGTCTGATCGTGACTAGCTGTTACAGGTGTGTTGTTATGGGAGTCTGAAGGGAGGTTCTTGGTCCTTTGTATGTGCCATTTAATCACAATAATGATGCCAGTGCCTACTACCACGCCAATAACAACAACAACAACAAGAACAGATAGGGAGAAACTAAGAGCAGACTCCTCATCATTGCTGCTTTCTGGTTTGCCTATTTTTCTGGGGATAGTAAGAGCTGGTGAAGATGTTAAGGCTGGTTCTAAAGTTGTAGGGTTTTCCTGTCGGGCATACACAAACAGTGAGGCAAATGTAGAACCAACAGGATTTGTTGCAGTACAGATGTATAGACCAGTAGCATCTGCAGTAACGTTTATAATGAGTGTACCGTTGGCCCCCACAGTCACCCTCCCCCCTGACTGCATTGTTTTGTTTAGTCCAGATGGGAGAGTCACTGTGATGTCTGGTGTGGGGATACCTGAAGCTTCACACACCAGAATATCCCCCTGGGTAGAAATGTTATAAATTTTGTTTCCCTCAAATGTCTCAATGTTTGGTGTGCGATTACAAATCAGTTCTGCAGGATCAATATCTATAAGCTTTTTCCTGATAAATTTGGCAGGTTGGGAACAAACCATCTGGTTTTCAAATGAATGAGACCCGGTCATTTGTTTCCTAAAGGGAAGCATCCTACAGTCACACTGCCAGGGGTTCTTATCAATGTTGACATTAGACAACGATGATAGCCTTTCATAGGCCATCATGGGCAACGATTTGATGGTGTTGCTTACCAAATCTAGCACAGACAGACTTGCAATGCCTGTGAGTGTTCCAGCTGGAATGTCATTGATGTTATTAGATCCTAAATAGAGTTCCTGTAAGTTTCTCAACACTGTAAACGTGTTAGGTCTAAGTCTTGTTAGCATGTTGGAAGTTAGGTTCAAGGTTTTTAGTTGTGATGTTGGAAGAAATGTTCCAGCCTGAATGTCACTAATGTCATTCGATTGCAGCTCTAGTGTTTCCAAGTTACCCAACCCTGTAAACATACCAGCTCTGAGGCTTGATAGTTTGTTACAACTGAGATTCAAACTTTTAAGCTTTGCAGTTGGATTGAAGGTTTGATTCTGAATGTCATTGATGGCATTCATTTGTAGAGTTAGTTTTTCCAAGTCACCCAACCCTGTAAACATCCCAGGTCTCAGGCTTGAGAGTTTGTTCTTACGGCCTACCAGCTCCAAGATTTTAAGCTTTGAAGTTGGATTAAAAGTTCCAGTCTGAATATCATTGATTTCATTATTTTGTAATAAAAGGTATAACAAATTTTGTAACCCTGCAAACATGTTGACTCTAAGATTTGTTAGTTTGTTGCGAAACAGGAACAAGGTTTTTAGTCGCGACATTGAATTAAATGTTTCGGCCTGGATATCATTGATGTCATTTTGCTGTAAATGAAGGAGCATCAGATTTAACCCGATAAACATGTCAGGTTTAAGGTTTGTTAGTTTGTTTTGTGCAAGACCTAACTGCTCCAAGCGTGACAAGGAATGGAATGCGTTGTTATTGATTGTGGTGATACGATTGGCATCCAAATATAATTCACGCAAGTTGCACTGTAAGAAATCAGACTGATCTAAAGTAGTGATCAGATTATGTCTCAAAGACAAGCATCTGACTTGGGTCGGTAGGTTCTTTGGAATGCTAGTGAGTTTCAGCGTGTCAAAATTGCAGAGATATTGAGTAGTACATGGGGCTTCTGTTGGTCCAAACACCATCAGGATGACCAGAAGGAATACCAGTACACTTGCCTGTTCTTTATCCATGGTGTCGTAAAGCTGTGCACAGGGACAAGACTGACAAAAATATTGTCATGATACTTATACGTGTAACCTTTAAGTCAGATGACAATTTTTATGTACTGTATAACTATAAATAGAAAATAGAAATGGTTTACTTGTCTTTTTAAACACCATTATCCGGGTGCAGGAAGAAATCGATACTAAATCTACTGGATAGATTTGAAAACTGACGTTTTAAGATGCACCCAGTGCATTGAATGACGGAATCTGTAGTTAAGCAGGAATTTAAAACAAAAGAATGGATTTGTAAATGAGGTGAAGACAAGTCTTCTTTTACCTACAATTTGTCTTAGCTTGTCTTAGTTTTTGTTTCTTGTGGATTGTCTGAATAATTGTCTTTCTTCATCCTTCATTTTTCACCATAGATTTTTAGTTTTTGGATAAATACGCAATCAACTCCAGATTTCGCAAAATATAGTGGATGGTACTTGACAGTCTAAACGTTTAATCTGTTTACCCTGTTTACCTCAATATGAAAACTGCTACAGTGAAAAGAAAAAAAGTGCATCATCACGGAGATAATGGCACACTACATGCCCAATTACATAGTCATAAATGCCTCTTAAATGTATCGGTGCTTCTAAAATATTACATTGACCAGGAAAACAGCTACGGTAGGAATAACAATACGTGCATCATCACGGGCCTGCTTGCAGACGACGTATGAAATTACATGCAACTTAAACAAAGAGAACCGTGTGTTTTAGCTGCGAACGCGAAAAACAGACTGTCCACAATACTCCTGCAGGAGGGATGCCTCCTTCACGGAGTAATAAGTAATCTCTGAAAATAGTAATAAACGTGTTTTATCAATGGACAAAGATGTTTGGCCAATAAAAACACGCCATTGGTAGCATTTAATTGAATTAACTGGCAGCAGAAATCTCAGCTCAAAATATTGGCTGTTTTGGAGAATTTGTAGTTTGTTAAGGTGTGATTGAGCACCTGAAGGCATTAGAACGGTAGCCCGGGTGACCTAAAATAGTGACTGCATCACTAAACTTTTGCTGCGATTGTGATAAAATATCTCGATTTTGTGCCAGCGCACCTGCTAGTGCTAATTTCAATTTAAGGAGCGCTAGACAGCTATTGGCCCATCGATCGACGTACCAAGCAGTTTAGAGTTTTATGGATAGATCGATGTAACAGATACTTATTAATATAATATGTTTAACGGTGGCGGCTCCGCATACATGTAGCAATATTTTGCCCACATCCAATACCAGTCTTTTAGGTTTTAGCTATTTCCATATGTATGTGTCAAATCAGACTGTAAAGTGTGGGTGTAACTTAAGATTATGCAGTCGTACGTGTCATTTGCAAACGTCACTATATTTGTAAGCAGCTGTATGTAATGGGCCCAGTCAGCTGCCTTGGGATAAGTCGGTCTTACACAGAAACACAAAAACAAAAAAATTGTGTATTATTTGTCAAGTAACTTTTGATCCAACCAGTAGCACATCTAATAGCTTCGTGAAAACCATAACATTTTAGTTCATCCAATAGAATTTCATCATTACTGACGTCAAATTCCCATCAGATTTCCCTAATTTATTTCCTCCAAACTTTATCTGATATCTGTAGCAGTGCTCTCGCCTTTTTAGTCAGCAAAAATGTTTCAATTCTATCAGCTATAATTGAAAAAAGAAATATGAAATCTACCAAGAGTTTGTTGCATAATTTTCTTAAATGGTCAAGAAAACTAACTTGTTTCCCTCTTCAGCCCAAAAATTTATGTTTCTGTTCTAGAGTTTCTAGTTGAAAAAAGTTACCATGAACATGATGTGTTTGAGAAACTTCTATAGTAGAGTTTGATGCTAATCTTGACGGTACAAAAGGGTAAGCTTACCTCTTTAATTCATCAAGATTATCCTGCCAAGTGAGACAGAATATCTTGTATTGCCGGTGGAAAGTGGCGAGGACAGCTGTTGTTTGTGAGTAGCTCCGTGGTAAGGTATGTGAAAAAACAACTGACGTCACACCCCTATTTGCATGTCATTTGTTGCGAAAGAGTTGATTGTCTGCTGTATTATGTTAACTATTGACATCATAGAGTTTATTGTATGGGTGTCTGTACCTTTTATGTGTACTCAGTGGTAAGACCTGTAAGGTATATGTAAAACAGCTTGAAGTCTTTCCGTTATCTGTACACCATTGGTTACAGCTGTTTGCTCCGTTTATTAAAGGTCTTGACTACTTCATACTTTTTACTCAACACATTCATGTACCTGTAGAAATAAACTTTGTCTTCGTACCGACGCGTCGTTCTGTTATTTTCGGGGCCGTGTGTCTTCCTGTGTGTAAGCATACCCTGAGAAGCCGTGGGTGTATCTTAATGTATGGATCTTAATTAATCTTTAGATATAGGGTATGTAGATTGATCTTATAAGACTTCACGATGATTATGTTAGGTCCCTAGTATGGTATTCGCTACTCTGTTAGCGATTCTGGATGTTCTTTGGTCACGTTATTTTACTGATAGAAAACATACAAAGTTGTCCTTGACCTCTTGTGGGCCATCCTGCTTATGTTTTGGCACCTAATATAACTAATATTCCTGTTGATGGATTGGTGTGTAAAAATCGTTTCATACAAATATGCTACCCTTATCACATCTGGTTTGCTGATCATTAGAAATGACATTTGTGATAGCGAGATGACAATACAACATCGCCTATTCTGCACACTCTTTAACAACTTGGAGGTTGTCCTTGTTTATGCTGATTCAGAATAAAATGATTCTAAAGACATATACCTAGAAAACCCAAATATTGAGTTTGATCTATCTCACCAAATGGCAGGATAAGAAGAATGGAATCATTTTTTTGTCTTCGGATCACCGTGGTCCGTCCCGTTGACAATCCAAACTTGTGCTTTATATGGTACAAAGGTCCAAGCGGTAACTTTGCCGTTAAAAAAGCTAACTCTTAGTCTATTTTCCTTTTCTCCAGCTATCGATCACTTAAAATGTCAAAAGTTTTTTTTTCAATATCAGAATTTTACAAAACCAGCTCATCTTTATTCATCTTCTGCACCTCCATACAAAACATTTAGACCAAAACTTTAAACCTTTTCTGGATGGATGACGATATGTTATAACGTTAATGTTAGCAAAATGTCATTATGAGTTAAGGAAGACCTAAGATGGTCTAACGCCCTAAACCTAACGCCCTCAAATGGTAAAAATCCATAACTTCAGAAAATGGCCTCTGCTCAGGCAACTAGTAAGCAGTGGTCCAAAACTTTGTATGGTTGGGAATGCCCTTACAACAACGCAAAGGTTGAGAAAATTGTCGACTCTTTCAGCTTATTCTGGTAGAAACTATAGATTGGTAAAATGGTCTGGTAAACATTGGGCCCTGACCTTCAAAAGATGAGCTTGATACGTGTTTTTTTAGCTGTTGAAATGAGTAGCAATTACAAGTCCTGTTATGTGTACTCAATAAAAGTTATTTTGAAAAAAAGACAAGTAAACCATTTGGCTTTTTCAGTGCTACATAAATGTGTCACCCCAAGAATTGAATTGAAATGAAATGCCACCTGCATGTGCCGATTAGTGCAAGTAAAACTTATGGATTTTTTTGTCTAGTTGGAAATAGAGAAAGTTTGGAGCTTATCTCGACTGTATGGGAAACGCTTACCTCTGAAATATCCCAGTGCTAAGTAAAACAGATTATCTTGTTTTGCCGAGAAGTGCTGAGGACTGGCGTTGTATGTGTGCAGCTCTCGATGGTGATATGCTTTGTGAAAACAAGTCACACTGTATTTGCACATCATTGGTTGTGTAGCAGTTGATTGTCTGCTTTAATATGTTAACTCTCGACATCACAGCGTTTATTGCATAAATCGTGTTTGTACTTTTTATTTGATTTCAGTGGTACAGCCTGTATGGTATGTGAAAACATCTTGAAGTCTTTCCCTTATTTACATACTGTTGTTTTTCTAACGGTAACTGTTGATTGTCTGATCTGTTTATTGATCTTCGTAGATTAAATGTGTTGACAACTTTATGCTGTGATTAACTCTCAACATATAACTTTGTTTGAGAGAAAACAAGCTGTTGAAATAAATTTTAGTGTCTTTTTATCTTCACCAAGAAGGTTCAATCTGTTTTCGCTGCCATCTATGTGTCTAGTCTGTCTCTTAAGCACGTGTATTGCTCTTACTTATATGTATGTGGGTACAATGTAGGTCTGAATGATACTTCAAAAATGATTAACTTTTTGGTCCCCTAGTGTCTTATCATATTTTGTTGTGACCTGTATTTGCTCACTGTGGCAAACATGTGTAATAAAGGTCATTCATGATCATGTGATTCATGGTTGAATTCAAAGATCTGCTTGCATGATTATTAGTCGCCGCTAGGCGTCTCTTTATACACGTCGTCATGCCCACTGACTGTCTGCCATGTATATCAAGATAATTGAGCCATCTTATAACACTACGTTACATTTAGCTGGCCCTCCACGCTCGACTATGTATATTTTTGCCGTCAGCTGTGTCCTTACAGGTAATGCCAAATATGCTCGTCCCAATTTCCAGCAATTTTCTGCCTTTAATTCAGTTTGCTAGGATCATTTTAACATGCAACAAGTGTCCATTTCTCCGTGAAGTTTTATATTTTGCAGATTGAGAACAGTAATAGTGTATGTAAACAGTGTGTGATCACTTAACAACTGGTAGCAACATATCGTAAAAATGGCTAAATCCCTGGTCTAATAATCTAGCCTGACTAAAAAATCGCGCTCCTGGTGGCCACCTGCTCAGAAGTTTGCCGCCCCTCTTGGGGAAACGGTTGCAGACTGACTAGTGTAAACACAGGCTACATAAAATCAACAAGACGACAATCTAAATAGATTAACAAAGTCAGCTTTCATAACAATATCTTTCATTTACTACATATTATTCATTTGGCAAGGTATCGCAGTAGGTGCAAACCACAATCCCAAAAGATACTCGCAACC